AAATGAGATATTTGAATAGCGATAGCGTCTACCATCATGGTGATACTACAAGGTACTCATTCCTGAACCAAGACACCATGCTAAGATTTATTGATGCTCCAACATGGATCCTATAAAACGAAAGTGCTTTATTCTTTTTGAATACACCTGTTTTTGAATTGTTTGTTAACCGCTGTTTAAGGCCGCAGTTCGTCTTGAGAATGTTTCACAACCTAGTATTCTTGCGAAACTCCTGTTTTTATTTTGCGATAAATCTTTGAAGCTACTCAGGATTTAAAATGTCGGTAAATATGGGTCTTCGACAACGCACAATCCTGACTCATAATATTATAGAGAAGTATTGTGAAAGTATTGTGAAGTTTCACAAGAATGCTGGGTTGTGAACAAAACTTTCGCCCCAGGCGGGACTAGAACCCGCACCTCTCGCTTTCCGGGCAAGTGCGCTACCAGTTACGCTACCGGGGCACCATTTCATTCCAACTCAGCTTTTCATGGTATACGTACCATAGCTTTCAGCACTCACACGTATAACGTGGTACGTATACCATGAAAAGCTGAGTTGGGATGAAATGGTGCCCCGGTAGCGTAACTGGTAGCGCACTTGCCCGGAAAGCGAGAGGTGCGGGTTCTAGTCCCGCCTGGGGCGAAAGTTTTGTTCACAACCCAGCATTCTTGTGAAACATTCGCAAGGCGAACTGCGCCAAAACAGCAGTTAACAAACAAAACAAGTTGTAAAGGTTCTCGATAGCGGAGTAGTTGACGAAAGAAGATGGTATTTCAGGCCGCTTTCGTATACAACGTTCTGTGAGATTCCACTAAAGGCAATGTTTATGTAATAGCTTCCCCTCGTATGGGGTCCATGTTACATTTTCGGGCGGTTATCACAATGCTGTTATTTTACACATCTGCTTGAAAATTGAAGCTACGGCTAAATAATGTGTCTGCTTACGTGCTACTATGGCCATTTTGCTTCAGTGTTTTGATTGTAAGTGCGTCTTCGATCACAAATCTGTTTTTGGAATATGACAGAAATTCTTCAATCTAAGGGAAATTTCTGTCACTCCCGTTAACACGTCGATGACAGCGTGGGACAGGGGCGTCCCGCACTTTGCAGGTCATGTGTTACTTATGTTAATAGTATGTTCCTGTACCACGGCCACGCTACGCTTAGGTTACGTTTTCTTCCAGAAGGAGAAAGCCTAATTCAATTATAAATATTGCGAAAGATTCCACCGCGAACTTTTTAACTGTTGCTATTTCGTAGCCATTTTGTCTATTAACGCTGTGCAGCAGCTAA